TCCAGATGTTATAAGAGATTTCTTTGGAAAATTAGGAGCAATATTTGGTCGGTTAAACCTTCTTTCTAAGCCGATGCAAATTTACAACTGTGACGAAAGTGGCATTTCTATTGTTCATCGTCCAGGCAGAGTTGTTACGAAATTAGGTCGTCGTACAGTATATTCTCTTACGTCAGCAGAGAAGGGAAGGACGCATACTGTTGTTGCTTGTGTGTCTGCAACTGGCTTCGTATTACCACCATTAATGGTCTATCCTCGTAAGAGACCCGTACCTGACAATTTTAAAGAGGGAGCCGTACCTAACACTTCATTTCACACTAGTGAGAATGGGTGGATAAATTCTAACATATTTTTGGAATGGTTAAAGTTTTTCGTTGCAAATATCCCTCCTACAAGACCAGTTTTGCTCATTCAGGATGGTCACATTTCTCATGTATCGATTGAAGCCATTGAATTTGCCCGTGCAAATCATATTCATCTCCTTTGCTTGCCTTCACACACGACCCACATCTTGCAACCTCTTGATGTGGGTGTGTTCAAGTCCTTTAAAGCTAATTTTAATAAGGCTTGTTCAAACTATATGGCAAAATATCCAGGCAGTGTGGTGACAAATGATAAGTTAGCTGCATTAGTTGCTGATGCATGGCCTCATTCATTTACGACACTTAACATATTGAGTGGTTTCAAGAAATGTGGTCTTTTTCCATTTAATCCGAGTGCCGTAGATGATAGACGCTTGGCTCCATCAAAGCCTTTTTGTGTGCCACAAGAAAGCACTGAGGATGACAACGAATCACTTCCAAGTAGTCCTATTTTTACAGAAGAACAGGAAAAGCTATATACAAGAAGATTTGAGGAAGGATTTGACATTAGGGATCCTAATTATGAGGCATGGATAAGGATCAACCATCCTTTTAAGTCATTATCAGTTACTTCAGGTGATTCAATAAGCAATATTTCTGCACCACTTTCGTCAACCTCAGCTCCAACTCCATCTCTTTCTGTGCCACTTTTGTCTATGGAAGTGCCAATCATGTCTGCCTCAACACCTGTGTTATCTACCTCTGCATCACTTTTATCTATCTCTAATAGTTCTAATTCTGCAGAGTCAGCTCTTGACAAAATTCTTGTTCTTCCTGAGGCTTCAATGAAGAAGCCTAAAAGAAGAGGCATTAACAGTAAAACGGTTTATCTAAATGATGTTTTAGAAGAAATGAAACAGCAGAAACATGAAAAAGAAGTTCAAGCTGCTGAGCGAGAGGAAAGTCAAAAGTTAAAGAAGGAGGAGAAAGAAAGGAAGAAAAGAGAAAAGGAACGAGAAAGGGAAGAAAAACAAAGAAAGAGAGAAGTAAAACAGAGAGAGAAATTAAAGGAAAAAGAAGAGAAGCAAAAGTCAAAGGAAGAAAAGCAAAGAGAAAAGCAAAGGAAGCTGAAAGAAAAGGAGAGAGAAAAACAAGAGAAGCAGCAAGAGAAGAATTCGAAACATAGAAATTGTAATGATGAAACAGAACTTTGTGAAAGGATTGAGGAAGTTTCATTGCATAGTGAAGAGGAAAACAGTTTATGTCCTAAATGTGGGTTGGCATACTTGGATGACAGTGATGAAAGCAACATTTGGATTTGTTGTGATGGTTGTAATCGTTGGTATGATCTCAAGTGTACAAATATAAGAAGTAAGAGAAGGATTCCTGATCTGTATTATTGCAAAGACTGCCAGGACCAGTAGTAATGTGAATATACTGTGTTTATTGAAACATTATTAATTGAAGCATGTGAATTATGACTAAAATAATGTTAATATATGTAGCATAAGCAATTGGGAATGACCTCAAAGCTTGGCCCGGATTCTAAAAAGTTTTAAAATTAAGTTTTAAAGGTGTCTCATAACTGTCTCATATTCAGCACTTTGTCTCATTATTGCATCATTTACCAGAATACTACTTTTAGCTCCTTGCCATTAAACATACAAAATATAGACTACAACTTTAATATTCTCTGAAAGATAGAACATTTGTAAGTCTCAAGAAAAATTTTGAACAAAATCTACCAATACAGTATTAAGAAATATAAAATTATAAGTAAATGTCCCATAACTGCCACACCTACTATAATTATCACTTTGTTGAGCAAAATAATATAGTTTTTGTCATTAAAATAGCTATATTCCATGTAATAACTACTAAATAATTATTAATTAACTGCTAATTATGATGATGTCATCTTCCGGTAAGAAATTCTAGTAGGGCATTGCCCTCATTGCCTGCCCCTGCAGCCGCCTATGACTGACAAGGAGGAGGAGGAAGAGTCTAGCTCCCGTTATCCTGGTCTAGACAAGAGGCACGGGTTTTTCCTCTCTATAGCTAACAACCAGTCGGACAGGGACAGCTATCACTGGAGAAAAGAAGACGAGAAATTGAAGAGAAAACAAGAAATTGACAATCAAGTGAGTAGGAGGAAGAGAAAGAAAAGAATTTAATTATTTTATATTTTTATTGTTGAATTTTTTCAGATAAAGCAACAGAAAGAAGAGCGACGGAGAAAGAAACGAGAGAAGCAGAAACCGGATCGACAGGTTTACCGCCCACCACACACTCGGAGAGAGACCACACCTACCCAAATAAACTATCGTATTGAGATCGAAGTCCGACCTAACACATACTGGAGAAGAGACGTATCTCAGGTAAACACCACAAGGATATTGAGACCTTGAATTCATTTATTATGACAAGAGTTTTCTTGATTTATATATAATATTTAGTGCTTTTAGTTTATACATTCATAGATGTATTTTATCTTTTTTAATATTTATAATAGTTGGGAAAAATAAGCGAGTTAGTTAGAAGTGCTACTGATGAGTTTCGCCTGGACAATAGCACTGGTATTGTTCTCGAAGAGGTTTTGTATAATTTTGAAAAGAAGTTAAGAATTCAGCAAAATCACTGACTATATAAATTTTATATAATGTACTGTATAAATCACCATCATTTATTATTAATTTTTAATGTTTCTTTAATTTTTATTATATAATAATAATTATCATTAAAACAATTGATGTATAATTTGTGAAAAGAAGTTAAGAATTCAGCAAAATCACTGACTAAAATTGTACACTTCCAATCATCATTATCTATTCTGCAACTATCATTAAAAGAATTGGTAGTGAACAGTCATTGTACTACTTCCTCCTCCTTCCCATTCCTTTTACTGTCTTCAATGGCTTCTCCTTTGGTTTCTGAGCAAATGCAGATGAAGTACGCCTGAAATAAATGTAAATAAAACAAGAAAAAAGTGAATTGAAAACTTGAAATTTGGCTCAGTCAAGGTTAATTCATACTATAACAATATTTACTGTGTTGATATGAATGTGGTAATAATAATATCTACTCGTGCTAACATGTACATGTAATGGTGATTACTCACTAACATGCACAAAAATGTCAATATTTACACTAGTCACTACTAATAAGGCAATTCCAGTCTCAATAATAATAATATAATATGTCTACAGTCTGAATTGCAATGTATGATTGAAACAATGAGGACCACTAACAATCAACTATACTCATAAACCATGTACTCACTTTGTAGGGAATGTATTGATAATAAAGTAAAATACTAACTGCAATTTGTAGTGTATAATGCAATAATGTATGTATATATGCAAGTACTATTATACTGTAGTACCTTGTGCTTGGTGTATCTGCGTCCAATCCAGTGCCAAACTGTGAGAGTTCTTTATTTTTCCTCTCGCGACTAGCCGAGCGAAGAAGAGGAGGAGAGAATACGTACTTTGTCTTTTCTTGAACAGGTGCAGCACTAGCTTCATCATCAACTGTCATTGGGGTAGCAGCACTAGGAGGGGGAGGAGGAGGAGCAACAGTGCTCGGGGGAGAGAACGTGTACTCTTGAGTGGATACCATCACACTGGAATGAACTGGGGTGTGTGCGGATGTTGATGGTTTCGAAGCCATCTTTGATCCTGGAAGACGTCTCCTTGGTATTTTGATGACAGGAGATAGAGAGACAGTGTCCATACTGACTAGAGCAGGTGGTACATAAGAGGAACGAAGAGAACTAGGAGTCAGTTTAAGAGCAGATCTAAGGAGAATTAATGACAATGCAATACATATAATTCAACAAAAAATGATTCCTCAGTCACCATAAAAGATATAAAACTAACTTTAGTTGAGAAGTGGACACAGACTGCTCTTCTTCCTTATCTTCATCTTCTGCAGCAATAAACGACCCCTCCATCTCCCTATCATCATTAATAATAAATCACACGGGAACCATTAAACCACTAACCCTTCGCCTCTACCACCAGCGTCACCCAGCACAACCTCATTAGCAAATGATGGAGGGGATGCTATGGTAGCTTGAGCCACACCTTCATTGTCTCCGCCCATCTCATCACCCGAACCATCGAGTGAATAAAATGAATCAGACTCATCGTCAGAAGGTGGGAGTGGCGTTGCTATAGCAATAGCGCTAGAACTTAACTTCTCTCCCGAATCTTCGAGAGCAAACCTAATAATAATAATGTGTGACTCCGCCCATTGGCTATACCAACCAACCTGATACGTCTTGTGGTTGTGTCAGTAAAAACTGGAGGTGAAGATGTTTGAGATATTGTCGGTTTCGCTTTCAAAATTGAAGTAGGCGTGGCTAGCATGGACCGACTTGGGAGCGGAGTCTTGACTATAATAGGATCCCTATCTTCGTTTCTGTTCATAGCGCTGTAGAGAAGGAACCAATGACATTATGTCACAAAAAAGATTAAATAAAAGAAAAAAAAGAGTGAGAAAGTTGGATAAATACATGTACACTCATTCCATTTTTACTTGAGTATAGCCATCCTTGCTTTAAAACCTTCCATTCGCTCCATGAACACGTTCATATCCATCCTTCCCTTCTTTGTACTGCTACGACAGACTGAGGACATTAATGAAGGAGACTGTGGAGGAGTAGCTGAAGGATC